CCCCCCTTGACCTGCACTGGCCAACCTACCTCCTCGCCTCCGACCGGAACGTCGAAGCCTGATGCGTCGTCCCTGTCTCCGGCCAGGTCCTAGCTTGGCCTTGCCTGGGCCACTCCTCACGTCGGCCCTGCCTTCGGCCTCGCCCCATAATTGACTGACCCGAGCTAATTTTTCAAGTACCTGAGAAATAGCAATCACGAATTTATTTTGTCTCATGGCATCCATGTTTAGCCAAAACTAATGCAACCAAAAGGATTGATCACTTATGAATCATAGCCATTCATTTTCCTCCAATATTCACCTACTAGATTTTCCTTCAAATGCCTTAACAGTTTAAGGGCTCATTTGGTATGCAGGATCCTAAAAATTGAGGAATAGAAAAACATGAAAAAATGATATGAATGGACGGGCAAAACAAACAAATCGTAAAACACATGAATTATGTTAAGTAGGTCTTTGGTTCACAGGAATTGAAAAACACATGAATCAAAATAAATATGGTCAAATTAAAGTGAAACCACCTGAATCCAAGGTCTTTAGTTCTTAGTCTCTTTCTTCGTGCATAAGAATTTGAAAAGGAGCTCAACATGGATGTTAGAATTCCTCTGCCTTTCATTTGAAAGTGGTTCAAAGGAAAATGGGGTAAAGAAAAATGAAGAGAAAAATCGTTTGAACAAAACACATGAATAGTAGCATCATAGAGAAGAAACTTCACTTTCACTATGAACCAAAGGAGCGCTAAAGTCAAAGTCAACTCCACAAAAATTCAAGAAAGGAAGAAAAAGTTGTTGAGATCCAACTACTACACATTAACGTGGCCCAAGCCCAACCATAGGAAGTCAAGTTGCTGAACCACTCATCCGCCAACAACTTGGGCTTCAACAAACAATCCACCGGCGGCACCGCGGACAGAGAGCTCCCGCCGACCCATGGCAGGCTCCGGCGCCAGCGACGACGAGGTCGTCCTGGAGATCGAGCACTGCATCCGCGTATTCAAGAGCGGCCGCGTGGAGCGCTACTTCGGCTCCGACCCCGTCCCGGCCTCTACCGACGCCGGCACCGGCGTCGCCTCGAAAGACCGCACAATCTCCCCCGACGTGGCCGTCCGCCTCTACCTCCCGCCCCTCGCCACGGAGGGCGTCGACGGGAAGAAGCTACCCGTCCTCATCTACTTCCACGGCGGCGGTTTCGTCCTCCACACCGCCTTCAACGCCGTCTTCCACGCGTACCTCTCCTCCCTCGCCGCGCGCGCCCGGGCCATCGTCGTCTCCGTCGACTACCGCCTCGCGCCCGAGCACCCCCTCCCCGCCGCCTACGACGACTCCTGGCAAGCCCTACGCTGGGTGGCGTCCCACGCCCCCGGCGGCGCCGGCGAGGAGCCCTGGCTCGCCGACCACGGCGACTTCTCCCGCCTGTCCCTCGGCGGCGAGAGCGCGGGCGCCAACATCGCGCACCACCTGGCGATGCGCGCCGGCGCCGAGGGCCTGCCCCGCGGCGCGACCATCAGCGGCGGCATCGTGCTGGTCCACCCCTACTTCCTGGGCCACGGCAAGGTGCCCTCCGAGGACAGCGACCCCGTGATGGCCGAGAACGTGGTGAAGATGTGGCGCGTGGTGTGCCCCCAGACCACGGGCGTCGACGACCCGTGGATCAACCCGCTGGCCGCCGGCGCGCCGACGATGCGCGGGCTGGCGTGCCGGCGCGCGCTCGTGTGCCTCGCGGAGACGGACGTGGTCCGCGACCGCGGCCGCGCGTGCTGCGATGGGCTCAAGGCGAGCGGGTGGGCTGGGGAGGTGGAGCTGCTCGAGGTGGCCGGGCAGGGCCACTGCTTCCATCTCGTCGACTTCACCTGCGACGATGCCGTCAGGCAGGACGACGCCATTGCCAGGTTCCTGAATCTGTAGAACAATATCTCGCGGACACGGGCATTTTCAGACCGCATGTTGTCTGAACTTGTGTATTTTTGTTGATGATGCATCTGGGGAAGAAGATTGATCGCGATGATATACAGCGTTACCTGATTTTATTGGCTCAAAATAAAACATAAACAACCGGCCTCTGTAATGTTAGAATGCACGCAACCAGCATCGATACACACGAGTAAAACACGCCGAATAAATAACAAAAGCATGCATGACCAAAACTATGCCTAAAGGGAGGAAAAGAGAAAAAAATGCCTCGAAGCGATCAACAATGATCCACAAACTACATCAACGACCTTGTGCACATCAATCATAAATTAACATCATAAGGGCAACAAAGTTCTTCAACAACGACATCTTTGGAAAGGAAGCGACGTTCAAGCATCGTCGTCATCGGATCTGACCACCAAAGACTAGATCCTAGGTTTTCAACTTGAAGAACAAGTCTGAGCAATGCATTTAACAAGATAACAATATAAAAAACAACTCATGCAACTGAGGTGATCAGGTCCGTGCTTGGCCTAACCAAAGTGATTAAGAAGGCGGTGAGTGAAGACCGATCAAGGTCGATTACAGTGGATATTCCTGTGCGGCAACAACAGCCGCTTGATGATCTGCCAACGGCAGAGCTGGTTGTTATAGCTTCGTGGTACATCTGGTTACAACTGTGGCAAAGTGCCAAGGGTGAAACTATTTAGACACCGGACCTTACAGCTATGTCAGTTAGGGTTTTGACAACGAACTTTATTAGAGCTTCAATACCTAACCAGCCTGTCTGCAACGCATACTTTCATGCTGAAACATTGTCAGTAGCAGCTGGGGTTGTGCTAGCAGCAACAACCTGGGTGTTTGCCTCATGTTTACAAGGTTGACTCGGCAGAGATGATTGCAATTCAAATTCAAATTATCTTGGGAGCAAATGTTGGATGTAATCGTTTGGTGATCGGGTCAATGGCGGAGGCATGAGGGGACGAGCAGGGGCCAGGCCTGCCCAACGATCTTGTTATACATCGGATAGGAACGTAGCCTCCGATCCAGTCTCATGGAGCCGTGTTTTTTCGTCTATGATTAGCGCGTACATGGGTGGGATTAAGCGCTTCCTGCCGCCATTTGTGCGCTTGCCGGCCTGTTCTGTTTCTGAAGATCTTATTCATGTGGCGATTCAGCGACACAACCTACTTCACTTCTCCGACCAACAAACTAGCAGGTTAACACATCTATACTAATTTCTCTCAATTCTCATCTAGCATCAGTGTTGAAATTATACATCAGATTTTAGTTGTTTTGTTTTGTGATTTCGGATGCTATGAAGAACTCATATCTTTGTATGTGTCCTAGAAATTGTCGTGAGGCAAATTATACTAATCTCTCTCAATTTTCATCTTGTATTAGTATTGAAATTATACATCAAATTTTAGTTGTTTTGTTTTATGATTTAAGATGCTATCAAGAATTCAAATCTTATATTTGGTAGGACTAGGGTTCTTACCGGCTCTACTCCGTAGGTTATACGGGCATGACAGCGAGGGTTGGGGGCGAGGACGGCGGCTCCGGCGTGTTGGCGCCGTCGCGAAGAAGAAGAGGGGCGGCGCAGCTAGGGCAAGGTGCGGCTAGGGTTTCCGGCTCCTCTGGAGCCGGGCAATATGATAGAACTATCTTTATTGCTTAATCTCAAAAGGTATCTTACAATCTAATATTTATAACCTGAAAACGACTAGCCTAAGATAACTTGTGGGCCAAGCCCTTAATCTACTGCCCAGCAGGCGTCCTCCGGTTGTATTGTAAACCGGTCATAAAAATATTTGTCCTAGAAATTGTGGTGGGGCAAATTGTACTAATCTCTCTCAATTCTCATCTCGTATCAGTGTTGAAATTATACATCAGATTTTAGTTGTTTTGTTTTTGTGGTTTGAGATGCTATCAAGAATTCATATCTTGTATGTTTCCTAGGAATTATCATGATGCAAATTATCTTGTACGAGTTTGTATTTGTTATGCAAAATTTACCTATGTCGGCTGTATAAAATATTGCTAATTCTTAAACTGAAATTCCTCAACTATGAAGAGAAAAAACATTGGCAAACACCATTAAGATTGATTCATTTTCTACGCCGGTTGCTTCGGCTTCTCACTGTATGGAGAGTCAAATCCATATAATCACAACGTTCGTGTCATGATTAGCGAAAAAATCACCATTTTACGATTGGTGGCATTTCACATCGAAACAAATTTTTGACAGTGACAAAAAACACTAGCAATGAACGCTAAGCGTTACGTTGTTAATTGTTTGGACCCGCCCATCATGCTTTGTTTGCAGAAGAATTTGCCGCCTAGCCACGTCTTTCTTCTACCTCCTACTGCTATTTCTTAGGCATTTCATCAAACATCTGATCTGCATCAGAAAACAGCAAGGGATGCAAGCGGCGTCGAGAGAGGGGGTCCTACTGTCGGGAGCGCGCGCTGGGCTGCTCATGCCCGTGCGCGGTGCGCCTCTACTACGCGCGGCCACGTCCGAGAGTAGCAACAGCTCACTCGCGCGCCCCTCGCCGCCCAAATTTAAACATACGCACGGAATGTCCGCATTTACCAAATTTTCAAAGCATGAAAGCACCCGAATTTGAGCTAAACCACAAAGAATGATTTAGACCCTCTTATATTTCTTCACGGAGGAGGGAGTATTACCTTAATCACGCTGAACTAAACCACAAATGCAAGAAGGAGCAGGACACGCCTTGGCGCTGCCCGCGACGGAGAATCTCGGATAAGCTTCATTTTCCATACGCGAATAAAGCAGCTCAGCTCAAAGTTGTGCACCCGCCACTCAGCTCAAATTAGAGGCATACATCTGCCGGTGAAAGATACGGAGTACTACGGATGGGAAAAAGTTGCTTAGAATGGTGTGATGGCCATAGATGACTTGAGGCAGCGTTCTGTTAGAGAGGATGGAATTAACAACTCTCCAGGTGTCGACGTATCGTCAGCCATGGATAGCAGCTTGGTACTGCGTGGCGTTGCGGATTCGCGTTGTGCGTTGTCTATGGCAGCATGTGGTACTTTAGCCCGCCCCTATGGTAGATGGCACTTTTCTGCGGTCGCCCTTGTGTGTTTGTACTCTTCGAGGTAGACTAATGCGCCTGACAACAGGGCATGGAAAGCATCGATGCCACGCACCTTCCGACTTTCGTTCTACTCCCTCCGTTTCTAAATATTTGTTTTTAGAGATTTCAAATGGATCATCACTGTATATAGACATATTTTAAAGTGTAGATTCATTCATTTTGCTCCGTATGTAGTCATTTGTTGAAAACTCTAGAAAGACAAATATTTAAGAACGAAGGGAGTAGGTAACTTTCACCAAAGATCAACGGAGTTTCCGTATCCCCGCAGACTTTACCAGACTCGCCATGAACCCAACAATAATCCAAGCACAAGAGACAAAAAGCAACAGTATGTACTACAATGATAGTTAATCAGAGTAGCTAATCAATCAATCCTCGCGATCATCAACCAATCCTCTCGATCTCACGTGCACCGCTGCACTGCACGACGATCCAATTCCAATTCCAATTCCAACCGACCGATCCCACCCCACCAACACCAACACCAAAGCGTCCGTGTCCTAGCCCCGGCTGAGGTAGGCGGCCGCGAACGCCAGCTCCCTGGCGGACTTGGGGCTGCCGGGCTGGTCCAGGAAGTAGACGTGCCGCTCGCCGGCGGTCTCGTACCGCACCACCTCGCCGCGCCACCCGCTGCCGTTGAGCGCCGCCGCGTACGCCTCCCCGCGCGCCTCGAAGTCGTCCAGCCCCGACGTGGTCACCGCCACGCGGCCGCACGCCAGCCTCCGCAGCGCCCACGCCGGCGCCGCCAGCGGGTTGATCAGCGGGTCGTCGATGCCGTACCGCCCGCCGCACACGAACGACCACGTCGCCTCGTACCGCCGCCGCGTGGCCGGGTCCGTCGTCTCCGCGCCCACGGGCCGCTTCCCCCAGAAGTAGGGGTCCAGGAGCAGCACGCCCAGGACGCCCGCGCCGCCCTCCAGCCCGCTCCCGTTCACGTCCCCGGCCCGCATCGCCATGTTGTGCGCGATGTTGGCGCCCGCGCTGTCGCCGGCGAGGAACAGGCGTGAGAGGTTCCCCCGGTCCCGCAGCCACGGCTCCGGCCCGGCGTCCGCGTTCTTGACGGCCCAGTTGAGCGCCGCCCACGAGTCGTCGTAGGCGGTCGGCAGCGGGTGCTCCGGCGCCAGGCGGTAGTCCACGGACACCGCCACCACGCGCGCCCTGGCCACCAGCGCGTTGAGGTAGTCGTGGTACTTGGGCTCGAACGGCGTCATGATGACGAACGCGCCGCCGTGGAAGAACACCACCACCGGCAGGTCCTTCTGCTTCTCCTTCCTGCCCCCGCCTTTCCCCTCCGCCGGCGGCAGGTACATCCTGGCCCCGAGGCCGGTCGCGTGGTCGATGACGACGTCCTTGGAGACGACCCCGGTGGCGGCGTCGACGCCGGCGGGGACCCGCGCGGTGCCGTCCATCCGGTGGACGCAGCCGCCCCTGTACTGGGCGAGGAACGGGGAGAAGTCGAACGCCACGGCGCGGTCGGAGGAGCAGTTGTCCGCCGGCGCCGGGGGCGCGGCGGCGGGCGGCAGCGGCGCCGTGCGGCGGCGCGGGACGAGGAAGATGAGCAGCAGGGTGGCGGCGAGGAGGAGGAGCAGGACGAGGAGGAGCAGGGCCACCTTGGCCAGCGTCGGCAGCCGCTTCATCTTGGACACCATCCTCGCGAGTCGCGACCGCTGCGCCCGTAACTATCCTGACAGGGATTTGGCAAGGGGGGGAGAAAAAGAAGTGGGATTTGGGTCGATGACGAAGCTGAATGAACGAATGAATAAATAATGGGGTGCTTTGGATAGGATAGCGCACGGGATTGCGAGGTTTGAGAAGAGATGACGGGAGTGGATTTGGTTTTTGGGGGTCGGGAAGTAGGAGCGTGAGGGCTGACCTGACCTTTCTCCGACGTTGGTGATCTGACTGGTGGTTTTGCACAGCGGTGGAGTCTGGATGCTCGCTGCCCAATTACAATTGGGAAAGGGGAAATGTCAGGAGTGGTGGCTGTGTTCGGTTCACAGGGATTTGAAGGGGTTTGGCAGAGGTTTGGCAGGGATTAAATCCCATACAAGTCAAATTCCCCCCAAATCCCCTCCAATCCACAAAGCAAGGAGGATTGACAATAATTTGTGCGAGCTTGATTGAGGGCTACACATACAAGGTTCCTTTCACCGGTCTCACCAAACCGACGGACTAGCATTTCCTGCGGGTCGTGCTCATCAGTTCCAGCGGAGTCTGTTTCTTCTTCGTGGACGCCGGCGAGTTTTAGAGCAACTACAGCAGATTTCCTGTACTAAAGTGTTAAATTTGTTCCCTATTTGATTTCCTATTTTTTTAAAGAAAATCACTGTCCCACAGCTAGCAGATCCTCCCTACATTTTTTGTTTGTCAAATCCTCCCACAGCTAACACGGTTTCAAACTTACACACACATACTCCCTCCTAGATGCATATCGATAGGTAATTCCACACGATGGAAGTACGGTATTAATTGAGAACTTTTCTTTGGCAAAAGATATTTATTAAGAACGTAAACAATCATGTGCACACAATTCGAATACGTAAGAAGTTTAATGTTCTCAAACATAACAATTGAAATTCAAACACAACATCAGTGCAAATAAATTAAGAGTTCAGATAAACATTATAAAAGATCAATAACATAATGCCGCGGAGGCTCCAATGATAGTCGATAAGATATTCTCGAAGTCGACTATGAGCTTACTGGTTCTTGATTCTTTGATGTGCTATCAGTCGGGCATCCATAAGCAAGGACTCACATGACTAATGTTATCTTCAACAACGAACTTACACCTGTTACTTTCGTCGCATTCCTTCTTAGTGCAAACCAAGAACCATGTTATTATACAGCTTTCACCTAATAGAGAACCAACGTCGCGGCCTCCAAACCTCCTCCATAGCAACCACGACACCCACCAACTCAAATCATTGTATTCTTCCTCATCCGACGACAAATCGTCGAAGATCATCGCCGACAACCGCTTCATCTAGGCATGCGAAAATTAAATGGTCTATTTAAGATGTTTTTTGATGAAACATTGAAAAAACACACGAATGAAATTTGACAAACACCTAACGTGTGGCGACGGCCGAAGCGACGACAACCGACGATGGAGCTCTGGCTTGGGCACTAAGGCGGCGGAGGAGACCATCGAAACTACATAGGTGGCTGCTCACACGATTCGTGGGGAGGAGGAGGGGAAATAGGTCGACAACGGCGACGACAAAGGCGGTCTACTTCTCTGGTTCCTATGGCATCAACCGGCTCTGGCAAGAGCTGGAGCTTGCTACAACATCTTCGAGGTCGGCCAATCTGATTCAGGGAGGAAAATTGTCTTCGGTGGCAACCTTGCAAAGCTTAGCGACGACGGGCTGGTCGGCAGCAGAAATGATGATTCTGGCAGCCTCAACGGACAGGAAGGTGAGGAAGACGCTGGCGGGGGTGCATGATGGCGGCGCCAATTGATTCCGCCACAAAGGGAGGATTGGGCAAGGGGAGGGGGTCGATGAAAGCAGCATTCGGGTGGGAAAAGCGAGGTGGGTGAAAAGTTATATTTTTAAGGTATTATACGCTTTATAGAATCTGCTAGATAAGTCTAAATCAATAAAACTGACAATTTCTCCTCAACTATGAGATGCTCTTACTCACCGTTCGTCTTCTCTAGGTGTTGCCTACTGACTAAAATGAAATTTTGCCTTATCAGTTTGAGAACTGAAGTTGGGAATGATATCTCCTTTATTAAGAGCATGTTCCATGGATGCTAAGGCCAACTCCAACGCACAACTCCAAACGAACGTTCTTTTTGTCCGAATTTAGTCCGTTTATGTCACATAAAGGGCTGTCGTCCGGCAGTGTCGGAGCCAATCTAGCCGGTGTGCCCAACTGACAGACGCATTTCATCCGGGCATCATGTTTCTTTTGCAAGAAAGGAAAAATAAAAACTGAAATAGCCCGCGGCCATGGTTCATGTCGGCCAGAGCGCCAGCGGCATGCACACATGCCAACCTACAAAATGATCATCCCACGGTTCACGCCGGCTCACTTGCCAGCGGCCGGGATGGCGGCGGCGGCCTGCTTTGGCGTTTTGGCCATGACGAGAGCGGTAGGGCGGAGGGTGTTGGAAGAGAAGGGGGAAATGAGGACAATGTACCCTCGACGGGTGGGTTAAGGGAGGATAAAGGCGTGCGTCGCGCGCGTCCACGCCTGGTCCGTTTCACCGTAAATCCGGCGCAAATTTGGGTCGAAAATGGATCAAGAGGGACAGAAAACTGAGGTCCATCGGCGTGTTGGGTTGTGTTTTATGTCTATTTTGACCCAAACCAAATGTCGTCTTGCATTGGCCTAATAGGGCGTGTTTGGTTGCAGTTTGCAATAGTAGTTGCATTGCATGTCCATCTCCAGCCAGCCTGGTTCTTCAAATGCGCCTCATATGCAGTAGATGCAACCTGTTTGGTTGCCTGCATCGCATGGAGGGGCACTTACCCCCCCCCCTGGTGTTTGGTTGTCGTGTTTGTGCTTAGGGTGTGAGCAGATGCAAACTTCAGCTGTTTGGTTGCAAACAACGTTTGTGTTCTGCTCACCCCATTTAAATGTGGTGGCTTTACCACCACATGATCAGCATAACAGCAAAGATCAAACAAAGCAAGCACCCAAATGAAATCAAACACATCAAGCAAGGAAATGACAGCAAACTACTTAACTACATAGCATAAGTCTAGATTAACAGTAGGGGCATCCTACTTCCCTGCTCGAAGCCAGGGTGTTGCTCCTGGACAAAATATGAACAAGTTCCTAGCACAAGTATCGCCACACACCATAAAAGTTCTCCACTAACACCTTACCTAACTTAACTACATAGCACGCTCGATGTTACCAACGCAATTGTGCCTGCTGCAGCGAAACATGCACATGACCGAGGAGTCGTGGTTGTAGATCTGAACCTTCAGTCCGAGTCTTGAGATGCGCACAACGACGAGGTCGCCGGGGACGATCCGGTGGCGGCGGCAGAAGTAGTTCCAACCCCAGCCAAGCACCATGTGCCCCTCGAAGTTCTGGACCTGCACCCAAAACATGCACCACTTGTTCGCGGATAGCCTGACCACACGCGGGAGCCGCTTCATGACCAGCTAGGTGTTCATCACCTCCACGAACTTGCTAGGGACAACGAGCATGGGGAGGTCCTCGTTGTCCTTGATTTGCTGGTAGAAGCGCAGCGGCTCCCTAGCCCCCTCCTCATGGCCCTGCCTCGGAGATCGCCCCCTTGAACGAGGCAGACTCATGAAGGCGATCCTGCCAGGCAGGTCCACCATCCTGAACCACCTGTTCGTGGGAATGAAATCCTCAGTGCGCTTAGCTCCGACCACCACCTGAGCTCCTCCTCCCGCCACATCCCAGTCAGTCTTCAATATCTTGTCAGGTGATACGCCTCCATCGTATCTACTTTTGCAAAGACTTTTGACCTTGTTTTGGACTCTAACTTGCATGATTTGAATGGAACTAACCCGGACTAACGTTGTTTTCAGCAGAATTGCGATGGTGTTATTTTTGTGCAGAAATAAAAGTTCTCGGAATGACCTGAAACTTCACGAAGAATATTTTTGGAATTTATACAAAATACTAGCGAAAGAATCAACACCAGGGGGCCCACACCCTGTCCACAAGGGTGGGGGCGCGCTCCCTGCCTCGTGGGCCCCCTGATGTTCCACCGACCTCAACTCCAACTCTATATATTCACGTTCAGGGAGAAAAAAATAAGGAAGAAGGATTCATCACGTTTTACGATATGGAGCCGCCGCCAAGCCCTAATCTCTCTCGGGAGGGTTGATCTGGAGTCCGTTCAGGGCTCCGGAGAGGGGAATCTGTTGCCATTGTCATCATCAACCTTCCTCCATCACCAATTTCATGATGCTCACCGCCGTGCGTGAGTAATTCCATCGTAGGTTTGTTGGCGGTGATGGGTTTGATAAGATTTATCATGTAATCGAGTTAGTTTTGTTACAGTTTGATCCCTAGTATCCATTATGTTTTGAGATTGATGTTGCTATGACTTTGCTATGCTTAATACTTGTCACTAGGGCCCGAGTGCCATGATTTCAGATCTGAACCTATTATGTTTTCATGAATATATGTGAGTTCTTAATCCTATCTTTCAAGTCAATAGTCACCTACTATGTGTTACTAGAAGAATGCCCGTGCGTTGCAACGGGCCCACATTAACTTTAAAAGTTCAATATCAATTATGTTAATATTACATTTAATATTCTCATACATATTAAGTGACATTGACGATCTTTTTACCATCAAATTCTCACACACACACACACCCTCTCCCTCCCTCTTCCTCACTCTCTCTCCCCCTCTCCCTCACTCGGGAGGTGGGACGAAAATAAATCCGGAACGGATACTACCAACTGAGACATTAGGAGTAGAGATCATTTAGTTGATAAGAATAAATAGAAAACAGTGTTAAAAAGGAGAAACAAATTAGAATACATTGAAAAACCAAAATGACGATGTAAAAGGGGATTCGCCCTGCCCCCCGGGCCTTGCCACCGAACCGGCTGAGCGGTCCAGTCCCCGCGCGGTCGTCTTCTCCTGTTCCCCGAGCCGCGTCGCTACAGAGCCGGGCTCCCCCCGACCACCTCGCTGG